AAACTCCCATGGGGAGTAAAAAATCATAGGGTTGTGGTAACCTGAAGAGTTGAGAGTTGTTGGGATGCTAGGGAGAGAAGCATGGTCAATGTATATCTATGGGATGATCTGTGATTCAGGGTATTGGACAGAGCTATAGGTGTACTAGCAACTAGTTAGGAAAGGATCTGTGCATTCAGCTCTGGAAAGAACTGAAGCCCCCTGAAATCCTTTTACTTTTATAGGCATGTGGCTAATAAAAAATGTCCAGTGGCTGTCCTCTAAAATCCACCATTGTGCCATGGGAGTCCGCAGCATCACCTGACTGGAGAGTGGGGCTTTGGGGTTCTCCTGCCCCCAGAGTGGAGGGTACAAGTCAGAGCTGCTGAGTGAAGGATGAGTGGAGACTGGCCCTCAGAGGACTCTATCTAGTGGTCTGCATTGATGGCAACAGCCAAAATGCGGCCGATGTGACAGCATCAAGCCACCAGAACTCCACAGAGCAAAGAAATTCAGCCAAGGGTCACAGCAGACAATGTCTGTGCATGCCCAAGGCTCGGGCCAGCTCTCCCAGCCAGGACCAAGGAGGAGACACCTACGTTCCATGTACCGGATGATGCGGGCAGCCATATCCCCAGCCCCAAAGCTGGTGATGGGCGTCAGGCGAACTTCATAGCTCTGAGGCACTTTCAGGTTGGGCAAGATGTGCTCCAGCAACAGGCCTTTCTCCATTTTCTGCACAGGAATGAAGGTCTGGATGGTGTTCCTCTGAGTTAGCTGCACAGGAGAAGAATCCACAGTGTTACTAAAATCCTGAAACTGGAAACCTGAAGGATTCTATCCACCATCTAACACTCTATGACTCCTCTGTCTATACAGACAAGTACACCTAGTTTATCAGTGAGATCTTCATGCAGAATTGGTTTGAAAATTCCCAGCCCTGATACAGACCAGTAATCAGGAGCCTGAGCTCTCCCTGAAAGAAAGCCCTCATTTCCTCCTGAATGGGGGCACAGCTTGAATGGGTCCTGGAACAACTCTGTGTCAGAACCAATGTCCATTAGTTCACCAAGGTCCTGTGTACACGCAGCATGGCTTTTTACCAGGATACCCTTCAGTTCACAATCAGTGCTGCAGAATGTGTCCATTTGCTGCCTGGCTGCTGCAGCATTTCATTGGGATCTATCTACTACTGTGCTTTCTTTGCACCGTTCCATAGGATTCGCTCTCAAACCCTAGCCTCCATTGCCCCTGCAGACCAGAGAGATGGGTCTAATTTAAGTCAGTGGTCCTCTGGGATCATCCATGGGATCCCTTGTGCCCACTGGGGGAGAAGCTGAACCATGCTAGCTGAACCATACCAGCTGAAAACTGTTGAGTCTGCTAAGGCAGCAGGAAAGTTTGAAGAAAACAATGGGAAAAATATCTTTGTCAAAATCATCAGCACTAAAAATGATGAAATACATGTCAGTGTAACTTCCCTGCCATAGTCATGCTTGCTTGGCAGGGAAGGACAAAGAACAAGCACTGCATTGTAAGGATACAGCTTCCTGCCTGTTGCTGTGCAGTGGCAAGATACATTACTGGGGATGCTGGCCCTGGTAAAAAGACCTTTGGCAGGGCTTTCCATGGACCAGAGTTCACTGTCCCAGACACTAATCTTCCCTTTGCCTTTCATATACCCTCTGGACTGACAGGTTTCACTGCAAAAGCAATTGTCCTGATAGACAGGCTCAGTGTTTATCATTAACTCTGAAGTTCCAGTATGACTGGAACAGGGATGCAAGGAGGAAGGTTTACAGCAAACCTCTCAGTGTGGAGAGTGTGGGACAAGACAATGGAGTGAGGGCATGCCAGGAATGAATGGAGTGAGGACAGGGGTGCAGTGCAGATGTGGTGCTTGGTAGAAACAAGCATGTGCAATCCCTCCTCTGCTTGCCTCCAGCCCTGACATACATGACCCTAAATTCAAATTCAGAAGCAATGGCTGCCACTGGAGAGCTTCTCAAGCCAGAGCCCTGTTGATTTTCAACACAACCCATCTCCTCACCTGAGTTATCTGCCCAAAGTCTAGACAGTGCTACCAAGCTAAGGGGCAGGGTTGGACCAGATCCTGCCATGGTACCATGTCAGGGCAGGTACTGGCCCCCAGGAATCCATGGCTGCATGTGGTTCTCACAGTGAACAATGAACTTGTACCTGCCTTAAACAGATCAGAGTGCATATTGCCTGAAGAACTGCTTCCTGCACCCTTCTCCTCCCCAAGGCAACGTGGGTGAGAAGCATAGGAACTGCTCTGGTGCCCTCCATCCTTTGAGGCACCTGGGAGCGGTCCTGGGGGCAGGACCAGGGCAGTGACTCTGGGAACCAAGCACGAGCTTGGCACTGGAATGCTGCCAGGATCCATTCGCATCAACAACGCCCCATCTGCACACACACAGCCTGGGTGCAGATCCAGCTGGCATTCCCAACACCCAGCCCTCCCATCTGCCAGCCTTCCACACTGCTACTCAGCCAAGCAAGAGCCAAGCTGGCTCCTGGTGGCAGTGACATCACCTGGGACCATTAGCACCAGACCTGCAGTTATCTGGGAGGAGAGGAAGGGTCACAAGCCAGAAGCTGGAGGCTGGAGGGGGACAGCTCCTGGCATGGGGATTTTTGGGGAGCAGATCCTGATGGGGGAGCTGGCGGCAGCTCCTCCCCACAAGATGCCATAAGCCAGGGTGCTGGGAAGGCAGCCAGCAAATAGGAGGAGGTCAGGAGCCATTTCCCTCATCTAGACATAACCTTTAGATGAGAAACAAAATGGAGAGTCAGAGAGAAGGCTGAGGGTGAGATTCAGACAGTGCAAATTCCACCTCAGCTGGGAGTTAGGTGGAATTTGGGTATCTAAAGCCTCTGGGAGCCATGTCAAATGACTTACTTTCCTACATCACCTAATCCAGGATAAACTGAGAAATCAGCCTCCAGTCTGGACTGCAGAGCTCTAGCTCCCCCACATTTGAGTCCACCCTCAGGGACACGTGGGTTTAACCAAATAAATACCTGGCTGCCACCCAGATTTGTCTGTGAAGCAGAAATGACTGAAGGCACATATATCCTCCATGGGTTGCAATTCTCCTGCTTCCCAGGAGAGACCTGGATCACTACATAATGGGAAAGGCACAGTCTGGGCCTGGCACGTACCTCCTCTTGGAGCAGGGGGAAGAAGTTTTGCAAGGGTCTTTTCCCTTCACCAATTACTTTGGACCCAACTCTTCTCTCAGCCTGTGTCCTCTTTCTATTTACCCTGCAACTCAGACAGACACAGCAACTGGCTGCTCACAAAGCTGCCTTCCACACATCCTTACTGCAGTCCCTACATCCTGACAGAACTGCCCTGGGTTGTCTTCGGAAAGACTGGCTCTTCTGGGTGAAAAGCAGCATGGGCCAAGTGTCTCCCCCTGGGCTGCTGCAGGAAAAAGGGCCAGGTATGCTGCCAGTGCAGTCTAAAGGGTATGAAATTAATGCAAGGGAGAAAAAGAGGACAGGTACGGGCAGCTGCTTGCTCTGTGCACACAGAGACAGTGCCAGCTTGCAGTCACTAGCACAGGTCCAGTGAACAGAGACATTAAGATCAAGGTCTGGCTCTGGCTCTGCCTCCCCCTCCCTAAATATCCTTTGCCTCCCTGATTGCCAGCAGCAGGTCTGTGCAGAGCTCTATGCATCAGTCCAGCAGGAACCCATTTTTTAATTCTCTGCTTCTATTGCCTACTGCTGCCCTTGTTCTTCTGCTCTGTGCATGCTCTTGTCCCATGCTGCCCTTGTATCTTCTTCCCCCTCCTCAGCCTCCTTCCTCCTTCTGATCCACCCTGACCAGTGCTCCAGCTAATCTTGCTGCAACGCAGTTAATAAAACAAACAGGCACAGAGGGTAGTGAAATACTGGTCACCTTATTACAGATGCTGATTCATCACTAGCCTCCGGATGCTGCCAGTGGGGCCAGAACAAGAGCACAGTGCAATGCACAGCCTTATCTCTGCCTTTGCCTTCTTTCATTGCCAATAATGAGAGGAAGGGGATGGAAAGGGAAAAAACCTAAACAAGCCCACAGTTTCTACCAGCTGGTTGTGAATATCCCACAGGCTGCAGAGGGGACAATGTTCTTGCAGAATAGGTCCACTGAAAGTATCTTACAAAGGGAAATATCAACCCTCCGTGGGACATATGTCATATGCAGAGTACAACCTGTTTTTCCCTACTGGCAACCAAGGGAGAGCACATTCACATGCTCAGATGTACTTGGCCATCATACCTCCAGGACCTGCAAACCAGGTCTGTCCTTTCTCATTCCTTATCATCACATCCTGTTGGTTAGCACTGTATGCCCAGTCTTCTCCTTTGAGCTGTCTCATGATGCTCAGAAAGTGCTTGTTTGCCCCACCATGGACAACCGAGCTTGCTCAGGGTCCAGGAACACACACCAAAAGCCTCAGAGAGAAAAGCAGGATGCCACACTACCCCTGGTCCTGGTCCTACTCCCGCTGTAATGCTGTCAAGTGGAGGGGCTGAAAAGCATATCTCCACCACATCTACATTTTCTGTTTATGTAAGCTATTAAAAGAAAAAAGGATGCTGTTTTCAGACTGAACGAAGTTTTAGCCAGATACGTGTCAGCTAACAGGCATAATAAAGCCAAGGGCTATTAATAAATACATCTGTCCATAGTTAATGCTGCAGTCCTACTCAATAAACCATTCCATAGATTCACAAGACCAAGATAGCCTACCTGTGCTGGAGCCTAGGTGTGACCTGTGTAGCCACGCATATGGTCTCACAGCCAGCTGCACATTAAGCAGCTATATGCTTGTTTAAGGGAGGAATTAGGGAAAAAAACCAACAAACTGTTTTGTCAACAAGCCTCAGAGAATTGTTGTAAACACCAGCTAGAAAATGTACATTAAAATCATGCAGGCTCACCAACAAGCTGACCGGAGCAAAGGAACTGCTCTGTGGGCATCCAGCTTCCTAGTATTGCTATTCATTCCTGCCACTCTCTCCTTACTTGTCTCACTTCTCCAGCAATTTCTTAGCCCAGGGCATGAGCACTAGCTCTGTTTTCCAGTATCTCCCCTCCAAATGCTTTCCACACATGCTTGCTCACTGTCCCTTTTTTCTCAGCCTCATTCAAATTCCCCTGCATGCTCCTTCCCATAGTACGAATGGGAGTCAGGAGTGGCTGCCCGCACTCCCACTCTATCGCTATTAAAAGAAAAAAGGATGCTGTTTTCAGACTGAACGAAGTTTTAGCCAGATACGTGTCAGCTAACAGGCATAATAAAGCCAAGAGCTATTAATAAATACATCTGTCCATAGTTAATGCTGCAGTCCTACTCAATAAACCATTCCATAGATTCACAAGACCAAGATAGCCTACCTGTGCTGGAGCCTAGGTGTGACCTGTGTAGCCACGCATATGGTCTCACAGCCAGCTGCACATTAAGCAGCTATATGCTTGTTTAAGGGAGGAATTAGGGAAAAAAAACAACAAACTGTTTTGTCAACAAGCCTCAGAGAATTGTTGTAAACACCAGCTAGAAAATGTACATTAAAATCATGCAGGCTCACCAACAAGCTGACCGGAGCAAAGGAACTGCTCTGTGGGCATCCAGCTTCCTAGTATTGCTATTCATTCCTGCCACTCTCTCCTTACTTGTCTCACTTCTCCAGCAATTTCTTAGCCCAGGGCATGAGCACTAGCTCTGTTTTCCAGTATCTCCCCTCCAAATGCTTTCCAC